CCTGCGCCGCCACTAGGATCAACTCCTGTAACTTTAGGAGAACGGCTGCGCCCTCCCAGTTTCCTGCGCAGGAGTCAAGGCCAGGGTGGCGGCTTTCGGCGCAGACCCCGCGAGTCAGCCACCCCTGCCCCCACCGGCTTTTCCTTGGTGGTGGTTGGGACGGGGCGCGCCTGATTTTGTCCCGGGCTGGTGACTGGCGAAAGGACGGAAGCTGAGTGGGGTGCCCTGGCCGCTCACTCTGCCTTTTGGTCCTGGGTGCAGACTTACACGATGGAGTGCTTTGGAGAGGTGTCCTGAGCCCTACTCTGGAAGTTCTGGTCTGTAGGCCAGGAGAGCACTGCATTAGACAACTTCATTCACGTTTGACGGGCCCAGGACACACTGCCCCAAAATGTGACCTAGTGTTCCGGGTGACAAAGAAAGAGTTACGTTTCCCCGGGTGTTGAAGATTGACCCGAGGCAAGCGTAGAAAGCAAGTTTTTTTTAAAGAATAGAACAGAGACAGATTTTTCCACAGATTTTTCCATCCTGCGGGGGGCGGGGGTGAATATTGTCTTTTTATTAGTTTCCAGGTTTCTTACTCCTCATGCCCCCCTCCTTCTGTCCTGCCCATGTGGGGGCAAGGGGACAATTCAGGGTACCTCTCCCCACTTTACAGTGTCTTCCCTGAGAAGCAGGAAAGGAGCCACCCACGGAATCCCCATTAACAAGTCCCTGCTGGGAGGCAGGTGATTTGGGGCAGCGGGTGAGGGGGTACGTCCTGAAGGTATTAACTTCATTTCCACTGACTCATCCTCCCCCTCCGTTCCAACCAGATCATCTCTCTACACTAACTGCCTAACTTTTGTTCTTGCTTCACTAGGAGGCAGAACTCCTAGTGAAAAACCTGGAGTTGCAGAGTAGCTCTGTAGACTGTCCTTTTGTAAAAGAAATTGCCCCTGCGAAAGAAATCTGCATTAGAAAAGAGGGCTGCTCCCAGAGTCTTCCACTACCTGGGAAACTGCGCAACAACCTTCATTCACATCACAGTTCCTCCCTGGCCTTCCCAGACTGTGTCCACCCCAGCTCTGTCCCTTCCAGGAGCTCTGGTGCTGGGTAACAGTCAACTGACCCTTCTCCAACTCACATTTTGTGGGTAGGCACATAATTAAATGTGCATAATTTTCCTTCTGTTAGTCTGTCTGATGTGGATTTAATCCATAGCCCAGCTAAAGAACCTAGGAGGGTAGAGGGAAGCCAGTTTTTGCTCCTCTCCATGGAAAGGAGCCTTGGGGAGGGGTGTGGTAGGGAGTCACTGAAAGTGTTTGAGGAAGTGTCCAGCCCTTGGTGGTGTTTTTGGTTCAGGGTGTGTGGAGGGGAGGGGGCTTGATGGGAACTGGGGCTGGGGTGAAGCACCTGGAAGAGCTGGCCCTCCGGTGCAGACCTTGTGTGAGGGGCAGGGGGCTGCAGCAGGGGAAGTCTGCATTCAGCTAGCACCTCCAGCTGGTGAGGGGACACTGCTCCAGCCACTGCTTCTGCAGCTCTTTGTTGTACAACCAGCAGAAAAGGGTGGTGGACGGGTAGGCGTGCCTTGGGATTCACAGGTTAGGCTAGAGCCCAGGCCCGCCATCTTGAACTTGGCCTGGAGTGGCTGTGACCCCCTTCCTTCTTGGATGCCACCTGGTCAAGGAGAGGAGTGGGCCTCCATAGATGGCAGTGTCCCCGAGTTATTGGGAACCCCAACCCCAGCTCCTTAGACCTGGGCTACCCAGCTTGGGCTGGCCTGTGTAGGAGGCACTGCTCAGCCAGAGGTGACCATGGCCACTAGCACCTCTCTAGTGTTGTCAAGTTGTCCCTGTATGACTCACCTATCCCTCACCCCTCACCTGTTCTTCGGGCTACTGTGGGGCAGGTGTCTTGTCCCTTCTCTCAGGGGAGCAAGATGAGGCACCCTGGCACCTCTGGCAGGCAGTGGCACCCCGGCCCCAGATTGACTTTCCAAGCAGTTCTGCAGGCTGCCAGGGGCTGCCTGTGTCCGTGGGTTCAGGGTCCTGCCCCGGCTGCAGCTGCACCAGAGACCCCGGCCTGCCCCCCCCCCAAGTACTCAGCGCTTGTCTGGAGAAGCTGGCCGAAGCCTTGCTGGGTGGTAGCCAGGCAGGGCGGGAGCTGCTACCGGATGGAGAGGATCCTGGGTAGAGTGGGACTTGGGATGGAGCAGTGGCTGTTGCCGAAAGCTCGGTCCTTGTCCCTGATTCCAACCCAATAACGGGGACATGGATTTGAGAATAAAGAAAAAGAAGGCTTATTGCTTTGATAGAGAAGGAGAAGCAGGGGACTCCTGTCCCAAAGGCTGTGATTCTGCCCATCAGCAGGAACAGGGGTATTGTGTAGAGGTGATGCAGAGAAGTGAGATTAGGGAGGAGAGATCTGGGAGGAGAAACCCAGGGGAAAGAAAATCAGGAAGGAGAGGTTAGGGAAAAAATGTGTAAGTTTCAACGCCAAGAGATGTAGTCAGAGCGTCCAGTGGAGCCCTGCTGCAGGGCCAGCTTCAGGGACACACTGCTGTCCGGCTTCGATTGACCAGGGGACCTTTCTGGTTACAGCATTCCACTTTCTCAGAAAACGAAACTGAAATGGATTGTGGTCATGTGACAGGAGGCACGGTTTATAGCGGCTGCCTTGAGGACTTTTGCTCTCCTTTTCAGACCTGCAGGGGAAGGGGCTCGGGCTGGAGAAGCCTCCAGTCAGAGGCATGGAGTGTCCTCAGTGCCAGCATGTCTCCCAGGAGGAGGCCCCCAAGTTCTGCAGCCAGTGTGGACAGAGGCTGCCTCCTGCAACCCCCAGACCAGGCAAGTCTCAGGGGTGCTGGGGTCAAGTGGGGAGGGGGGCCAGCTGTGCCTTCCAGGCCCACGGGAACTGGGCCAGCAGGCAGCCTCAGCCGCCGCCCCTCCCTGGCAGAACTCTGGGGGGGGGGCGTTTTTCCCCAGCGGCTTTGTGAAGTTCTTGCTTGAATCACCTGTGTTGGTTTCCTTCCTTTGAGGGAACTGAGGTTTCGTCTGCCTTGGGGATAAGAACCTCTGGCTGAGCTAAAGGGCCCTGGACATTCCAGAGCACATCCCCGAGGTGTCTGAGGCTGCGGGAGGGGGAAGACTCTCTGCGTTTGCAATTCCGTGGGAGGGGTCCGTGCAGGTCCGTGCAGCTTACCCAGGTTGTCAGTGGAGGGACAGGAGGAGACAAGTGTCAGATAGGCCTTCTCTGCCGAGGGCAGGGAGACAGAGACATCCTCCCTTGCTCCTACCCCACTGCCCCAGAGCCTGTGGGGGCACAGAGCTTCCAGAGGGCTGCACGGATCTCCCCATCCCAAGGGAAGCTAAGGCAGCCTCAGCAACAGCGAGGTGCTAAGCAATTCAGTGAGACCCTGTCTCTACAGCACAAAAGAGGGCTGGGGGTGTGGCTTGAGTGCCCCAGAGTTCAATTCCCAGTACCAAAAACAACCAAACAAACAAAAAAAAATTGATTACTGGATAGGACAGGGTGGTCTATGATGGTGGCCAGGAAGGACAGTGGGCAGGTAGAGCCGCTGGGGGGCTTCATTTAGTCTATCCCTTTGGGAAGTGGAGACCCGGTAATAGCGGTCCACTTTACCTTTTGAAGGTAGCCCTTGCTGCGTGTTTTATTTATTTATTTATTTATTATCAGAAATTTTTTTTTTAAAGAGAGAGAGAGGGAATTTTTAATATTTATTTTTTAGTTCTCGGCAGACACAACATCTTTGTTTGTATGTGGTGCTGAGGATCGAACCCGGGCCGTGCGCTTGGCAAGCGCGCTACCGCTTGAGCCACATCCCCAGCCCCATTGCTGGGTATTTTAAAAGGGAGATGTTTTTCCTTTTCCTCTTCTCCTTCTCCCCCTCCCTAATTTGGGGGCTGGGAACCAGATTACCCTGTGTTACTGGCTTTCCTGGGGACTGAGGTGACTATCTCCCAAATTAACATGCCAAGCCTAACTCTCCAGGGGCCCTCCCCGCCCCTCCCCCCAGGTACACCTGGAGTGTAGCCTCTGAAGAGCTGAAAAGGCCCTGTTTTCCCCGAGGCGCAGAATCCCACCCAGCCTCTAGGACCCGAGCCCACGCCCCCGCCCCCATTTCTCTGCTGGCAAAGCAACAAACCTTTTTCCTTTTTCTCAAAACTGTGTCCTCATTATTAAATTGGCAAGAATTGGCATCAGGGACAAGGACCGATGAATAACCCCATGTTCATCATGCTGCAGGGCCTCCCTGAAGGGTCTCTGCCCCTCTTTTCATTTTGGGTGAGGGACGGGGACGGCAGAGGGCATCAGAGCCACTTGCCAACAGCACAGAGGGGGATCTGCCGGGGCACGGCAGGGCCATGGCCTTTCACCAAACGCCGATGATGCTTCTCAGGGTGAGTCCTGTCGGGGAGGCGGATGAGACTCCAGATTCAGCCCCCACCTCCGGTTTCTGACGACATTTATAGGCTTGTCTGGTGCCAGAAGATTCCTAGTCTCCACGCCGTGTGGCCGAGCACCGGGTTTTTAGTGATCCCAGAAGCGGGAGAAGGGGAAGGACTGGCTGTTCTTTCAAGGTCTTTTGTAGATCTCTGGCCTTGGCCCGAGCTGTCCCAGAGGCCTTTACACTTCAAAGGAGCGTTAGATTCCTGAGGAAGTTCTTTACAATCCAAAAGGTAGGGGTGCACGGTGTTAGGTGTTAACCAGGTTTCCTGGAGGTGGGCTGAGTGGGGGGGTGGGACATCTCCCTTGCCCCGGCACTAATTATCAGGACAGTGGACAGTGTTCCTTTTTTTTTAAAATACTTTTTTAATTGTATGTGGACACAATATCTTTATTTATGTGGTGCTGAGGATCAAACCCAGAGTCTCTCACGCGGGAGGCAAGTGCTCTACCACTGAGCCCCAGCCCCCCAGGACAGTGTCCATATAGTTCATTTTACATCATCCGTTACACTTATGAGGTATGGAAAATGACAGCCCCCCATCAGGGTGGCCTGGGAGGAGGAGTAAAAACAGAAGCCATAACTCATAGCACTGATGCCTCCCAGTGTTACCGCTGTTGACCGGTGAAGAATAACACCAGAGAAGCACGCCGGGGCAAGGTCAGAGTGGAAAATTAGAAGTTTATTAAAGGACAGCAGAAAAGACTTCTCCCGGAGGAAGAAGGGGACCCGAGAGGTGGAATCCGTGGAAGTGCGGCTGTCTCCCCTTTTTATAGTTCTTTCAGTGATGGAACATAGATTGGAAGGCCCGAGGGGTGGGGCACAGATAGGGCAAAGAAGTAATCTGGGCGGGAAGGACTTCATTATCACTTCTTCGGGATGGGCTATCTTTAAATCTGCTGGGGGCTGTTTCCTGGACTTCATTAACATTTCAAGAGTTGCTCAACTTTTCCTGGAATTCATTGTCATGGCCTCCATTTTAGATCCCACTCGATATTAGACCC